CACACCCGGAAATCCAGCGACTGGTGTGTTCAATGTCAAAACCCCACCGTTGGAATGATGCAGACCTGCGGCTTCATACCACCACAACCGCACCTATTTTACGGTTACCCACCAACTCAACCACCATTTGATTACCCACCGACCCCACCACCGTTTGGTTACCTACCAACTCCACCACCATTTGATTATCCACCAACTCCACCATTGTTTGGTTACCCTCAAATGTACCACAACCAGCCAATGTTTGCGTTTTAGATATTTGGAACATTTTAAATCATATTATTAGAAAAACATTGTACTTTTGTCGTTAAGAATCCATAGTTATGGAGGAACGTGTATCGTAACTGAGGTTACGGAAAAACGGATCTATATGTAGAATGAGTATGCGCGCATGAGTATTAGATAGGTTTGATAGAGTTAATGGGTTGTGTCTGATCAACCAGCCCAGGTGTCTTAGGTAGAAGACATCAACAATTCTAGAGAAATACCTGTAAATGATAAGATAAGAAGAAAGATCCGTATATGTCATGGATGGCATTCAATGAGGAGGGGAGAGTGATACCGTAATGAACGATAATATATGCGAACAGTTTAGAGACTGGTACGAGCGACCAGCGGCGCACCTCGCGTGCTCAGAATACGTTCGAGAAACGTTGCGTTTTGAACTAGTGTTATTCTAGATTATATCTTAGTATTATAAACATATTTGAAGCGATTCTATACATAATAAAACGATAAAAGTCATAAAACATCGTGTGTAGTATCGAGTAACACATTTCCAACTCTTTGTAAAGTTTACGCGATTGCAGTTGCAATTCCAATCAAACCCGCACATGTTTGTCTATGTCTCAAGAAAAACTTGAAGCATTGCTACTTATGACCACTGAACGGAAGATTTTAATGTCTTTGGAAAAGGAGCAGATTATCACCGCCTTGGAGGTCTGACATCAGAATTGTCGAAGGCGCTTATATGAAAATGTTTAGAAATGCTAGAAATCGACAATCGTTATTGAAACATTAAAGACATTGGAGAACATCGATCGATCGATATGGGCAATATTTGATGTTATCAACATTCGATACAACACGTGATATATAGTACTAACTATCAAGTGATATACTGTATAGTATTAACTCTTTTTGTATGTTTTGACAAAAAAACATGACAGATTCGTATCAATAAAGTGCAAGCACAATTTTTAGTAAAACATTACAAGTTATTGGTGAGATCGGCGTTTAATATAAATCAAAATATTTAATACAAATATACTCAACGAGTGACTTTATTCCTCCATAATGAATCTGAAATAAAGATTTATAGTAAAACTGATACCGTACTAATTTAAATTAAGTACTACTACAAAATTCTAACCAAATTGCAAATTTCGACACGTTATAATCTCATTTCCTGACCATCACATTTCTTTCAAATCTTCCCCCAAAGTCCAGGAAATGGCATTTCAGAGACTCTAAATTTAAAAATTTTCCGGGGGGGGGCATGTCCCCGGACCCCCTTAGGAACACCTCGCACCTGCGGCGCTCGGCTCGTGCCTTCGGCCCTCGTTTATCAAGCGTCACATTATAGGGGCGCATATTGGTTGATAGCTCACTGGCCCCCCCCAAAAAAATAGTACCCAGCACGCCACTGTAAAGTCAATTATTCGTAGACCCTAAATGGGCGAAGCGCAAACGGGACTCGAAGAACCATGCAAGGCACCTGCCCAAACTTAGTAAAAATTTACTGTTCTAATTGAAAATCTATACTGTTCTAGTAAACCTCGGAGGTGCATGCGCCTCATAAAAATCGACGGTTAGTAAATCCCCCAGTTGTTTCCCACAATGCATTGTATTCCTATTTAATGAACGAACTGCGGGAAACAACTGGTACAAATCGTAAAATGCACCCACTCAAGGTTTACAAACTATATTATGCTGTGTTATGTTTATATCATATATTGTATAATGGTATTATTAAGTTATAAAACGTTTATTATTACTAAATGTTAATAAACAGTTAGGACCTGTGGCAAGGACAGTCCCAAGTCAAAGACCATGTGCAAGACACGTCTGCGTCGTAAATAGAGTTAACTAAGATTGAATATTTGTGCTTGAGATAACATTTAAAAGAACTAGGTCTAGAGAAACTGTCAAGAGATACTTCTTGAGATACAGTGTTCCAGATATTGACAATTAATTATATTGACAAATAATTATGCTCTTAGGTCTGACTTAGTTCGATATAAATAAACACAAATATAAAACCTCGGGTATTAATTACCTGTTTACGCTGCATGTACAGGAATATACAGTATTACAGTTCGCTTCGATCGCCAGACACCAATGCTTGCATACAAATTTTATCCCTTTCACAATCTTGGTTTTATTTTATCGTATAGTCGAAATTTTCAAGTATTCGAGGTATTCTGAAACTGTAAAACTCGGTGGCGTGACAAATCTTGTAGAGACTACATCGGCCTAGGCGTAGAGCTATTAAGTAAATCGGGCCTAAATTAATTTAATAGTTTCATTTACATAATTTTATTTATGTAATTGTTTGTCTTGCTTTTATTTGTGTCGATCAGTATAGAATATTGTAAATTAAAATATTACTACAATGCAATACGCGTAGTATTTCATCCGACATCTGCACTACACAGGGCCGCCGAGAGGTTGGCGGGGGCCCGGGGCAAATTTTTTTTAGGGGCCCCTATCTAAAAAAATTTTCCCGGAAAAATTTTTTTCCGGAGAACGGCCCCCCCACCCCACCCCCCCGTCGCCAAAAAAATTTCGGTCAGTGTACCATTTTAGGGGTAAAAATTTTCAGGGGCCCCCAGCAACTCAGAGCCCGGGGCAATTTGCCCCCCTGCCCCCCCCCCTCTCGGCGGCCCTGGCACTACATTATAAATACTGAAAACTACGCAGTAGTCTACCAACTATAAAGTAGACGTTTCTTGACAGTTCTTGTTTTTCCAGGAAACATCACAGCTCACGTCAACATAGCTTTTGAGTTTTGTAACCGGCCGAGCCGAAAGTAGCTAAATCATGCAGTCGGGAAAACCGAAAACTTCTTTGAAAGATTATTTTGCAAAATACACTCGTACACACAAGAATCATAAAAATATATATGTTGAAATTGTTATTGTCAACTGTCAAGTTCAGCTATTTTTAGACAATATGGTGTTAGCCAATCAGAATGCAAAATTGACCGGCCCAGACCAGGGCTTTCTCGTCTCTCTGCCTCGCCCTCATACGAAAGCCCTGGGAACGAGGTTGCATAAATTATTCTATGTGTTCAACATGTGAATTACGAGAACTACCGCCACCCGCTACACACACACTACCCGTCACCCGCTACCTGTGACCCGCTACCCGTCACCCACTACCCGTCACCCACTACCTGTCACCCGCGGAAAATACCTGCCGGTTGGATAGGAAGGAAAGAAACTATAATATTTGAGTGCCCAGTGCTGATTAAAAATTATTAATTAAAATGAAATTGACTTGCCTATTTGATAGTGTGTATTCTCCTTTTATTTCTCCTTCTAACAAAAGAGGAATAAAGAATACACACTATCAAGTGGGCAAGTCAATTTCATTATAAAATTTATATTTTATGACATATTTTACTATAATATATGTACATTATTATACTGACCCTTGCGAGATTGGGCCGCTTGTGTTTTGAGAAGCTGAGATTTTTAAAAATGTGTTCTCAGAATACAGGAAATGCTATTTCAGAGACAACCTCGTTCCCAGGCTCTTTGCTCTTGGGAAGCAAAGACCCTGGTCGGAGCTGGTCACGTGAACCCCCAGATTTTGGGGGTAAATTGAATTTGATCGCAGGGAGGGGTAGTAGAGTAGTCTGTTTGTTGCGTTTGGAAAATTGCAACTTTATGTGTTATAATTTCTGGTGATAAAAATGTAATTTGCAACAAGAGATTGTGAAAGGAACTGTTCTAAATTCGTACCGATCATGACAAGACTTCCTGCTATACTGAATGTCATCAATAATAAGTGTTGCGTTACATTTCAAGCGAGAAGCTGGATCATATTTCACTTGCAAGGAAAACACTCCACACGCGCCTGGCTTGCGAAGTTTAGCACGTATCGCCGTAGAAACATACATATCTTATACACAGACTGATCGATCAAACGGTATTAAACGAACGATATGGTTCTTTATAGTTGAAGTGTATCCTGTCCGATATTCAAAACAAAAGATTTATTTTATAACGGGATCCTTTGTCTTTGATTTCCCAAACATCGCCAACATGTGTAAACAATAGTGCTATTCTGACTGTAAAAGCACAGGATTAAAACCCGTTATGGACTGGCTATAAAATTCATTTCATTTACATCGCTGAAACTCAACGATCAAGAAAGATAATGTCGAAGTGTAGCTAGCTATCTGTTATCACACAAACGCCAAGACTCCTCCGTGTGTTTCCGTGCGTGCGGTACAACTTGAATATCTAGGACGATATATGCACCAGACACTGGTATTGTACTTTATATAAATTATTTCATATTTTGTATATACAGTAATTTGCAACATGTATAATATTAGACCTTTCATTGACATTGGCATTGTCCATTGAGGGCTTTATTGAAGAATAATCCAGCTTCTTTAGACTTGTATATTATGGATTAATGCCGCTGTGAGTTATCAATATTTAAATCAACTTTAATCTTTATCGTATACTGTAATCGGCATTTTAGAAGTTTAGTCTGTTTTACCAAACAATACTGGAGGCAAACAACCTATCTATCAATGGAAACTTTAAAAGGTTTCAGTACAGTAAAACGCATATAATTAATATAAGTGAGACTTCGTGTGCATATACAGTTTATGAATTATGTATATATCCCTGATAAAACGTAGGACACTTTATACCAGATATAATAAAAAATACTTTGCTAAACCTTTTCGGCTGTCATTCCTTTGCATTTAAGGGGCGAGGGTAAATGGCGATAGAATTTATAGGAGATGCTGTGCAATATTTTGGCTTCAACAGACAGGTACTCGTGCAGACAAAAAAGGAAATTCATGCAGTTTTGAATTGTCGTGCGTCAGCTGTGCACTGTCGATTTCAAACAATTTTGTACGTTATATTTTGTCTTCCTGGTGTTTAATATAAACGATGATAACCTTTTAAAAAAAAAATCTAGAGCAATATGTCTATAAACAGTTTTAGAATCAATAGAATGGACATTCAATGTGTATTTGGCTTGTGTCCAAATGTGTCACGTTTATTAAAGACCGGCAAGGCGCTAATCCTACGACCTATAAACAGTCGCTTTTGAGACATCTGTTTAAAAAAAAATATACCATGTCCATATCAGAACAATTCATTGGCATATAAGCGTGAAATAGAACTACGCCCGAACCGGCGAACCCCGAGAAAATAAAAATATTTCAAAGCGTACAGTCATACGTTCTCGTTGCTTGATTTCCTGAATTTTAGAGAAGAATCTGCATTTTAGCATGTTTGTATAATTTAAAAGCAAACAGAAACCAATTTAGCAAGTAGTTTGAGGTATATATGATTCTTGAAGATGAATTAATGATTGTACAGAACGGCCACTCCTTGCAATCGAAGTGCGGAAGTGGAAACATGTAATATGAGACTTTTCCATCCCCCTCTTGGGCTATCAATTTTCAATGGGTCATGTGACCAGCTCCGACCAGGGTCTTTGCTTCCCAAGAGCAAAGAGCCTGGGAACGACGTTGTTTCAGAGACCCAAATTTAAAAAATTTCCTGGGGGGCATACCCCCAGATCCCCCTAGCTAACTTGTGCCTGCGGTACTCAGCTCACACCTTCGGCGATCGCATACTATCCTGGGGGCAGGGCAAAGAAAATGGGCCTTTTGGCAGTTTTGCCCCACCACTAAAAAATCCTTAAAAAATACAATGGACCTTAAGCCAGGTTTCGTATGTCGCTGATGGTCGGCGATGCACTCAAATATCATTTTTTATAGTGATCATTGTCCATTGAAGGAGAAAAACTATTTCATGTAGACAAAGGGCACGTGGTTCTACTCATCATGCAAATGATCAAAGACAATGGTACCAAAAGACCATCCCAAAGAATGAGTAACAAGCCATTTGCAAATGAATTCAGTATCTTTTCCAGTGAAATCTGCCATGTTATAGTCCGCCAATTGCCATGATGGAAAACGTCCAAGTCCCCCACCCCCGGGCTGAAAAATTTCAGCAATAGCCCCACCCCCGGGATTAGGATAGCTGCGAAGGCCCGGGGGAGGCCCGGGCGGGGCACTGCTGGAATTGACTGATACACTAGTTAGGGAAATAATAATTTAATTCCTGCAACTACATGGAATATACAGTACATGCAGAAATATATAGAAAGGAAAAATTCAATTCCCCTTTCTCCCCTCCCAGGATATGTAATGGACTACCTACTGTAAATGTTTCAACCTTGTTAGTGATGATTGATTTTTGTTGCATGATTTGTACATGAAATGGGCCATTCATTTAATATGCACCCCCCCCCCCCCCTATTA